CAATCCGAGTAATTATTTTAATAGTTTAGCCCACTTTTATATTTAATGTTTGTTTGTAATTGTATTTGTTATTGGAGTCCATCTAAAAAGCATGTAATATTCTACGTACTTTTTATTTATTGTGCATTACTAGTAGAAGAATATTATTTTGGGTTTGAACTACCTATTAATCTATTATTGGATGTGTAATTTGGAGATATTGAACCTTTTTGCTTGACTGTTGATGCCTATGTTAACCCGAGATTTTTGTTATGTTGAAATTTATTGTTGCATTTGGATTTTTTTATATTTGAACTTGAGATATCATGCATGTATAATGTAATGGTCATAATTTCATGATTTAAATTTGATTTGTTTTTATTTAATTGAAGGTAAAATGTGTTCATTTCAAGAGAATAATAAAATTTTAGAAGGATCCGAAAAAATGTAAGAACCGAACCGAGTTTAACTAGAACCGAACCAAATTTAAAACCTACTTTTTTAACTAGAACCGAACCGAATTTAAAACCTACAATTTTTATACGGTTCCATCGAGTTTTAGCAAGAACCGAACTGATCCTGGGCCTAAAAAATTAGTGTTTATATCAAGAAATTTGAGGTGTGGTGCATATGTATTGTGGTGGTTTTCCTAAACTCGTGTTCTTTTAGTCACACGAGGATTAATTTCTCAAATTTGAGATTTTAAAATTCAAGGAATTCCAAAAAAATCTTGCACGTAGATTTATATAAATTTATATACTCCGTAGATTTAATATGAATGATCACCAACTTTATCGCCAATCTGATTCATCAATAGACGAGTTTTTTTACCAAATAGGGGTAGTTTTAAATCTTATTTCCCAAACAATGTTACTTTTAAACTTATTTCCCAAATAAAGGTAGTTTTTTTACTATGTCATCCAATTTTGCCACGTCACCTTCCCAAATAAAGGTAGTTTTTTACCATGTCATCCAATTTTGCCACGTCACCTACGCCAGGTGGCTAAAAAAATATAATAAATTTAACGTGGCAAGGGGTCGAACCTCTTACCTTCTTCAATTAATTTGAAATCCCCTACCATTAGCCTACTTTCAATAGTTGGTACATTGCGTCCTCTACTAATATTTAATAATGACAGAATATAATTTTAAGTGCAATTTTTTTTAGAATAGTTTCTGTAAATATACATAAATCAATTACCCCTTAAATAGTTAGAGAATATAATAATATACTTATTTTGAGATATAAGATTAAAAAATAAAACCAGTCCAAAATTATAATACAAACATAATTTGATTTTTTTTTTAAATAAAGAAACCTTTATATTAAAATAAAGGTGAAGAGTACATGAAAGAAAACAAAACAAAAAACAGGAAAACGGAAAAAGAGAAACAACACGAAAGAAAAAAGATCCTAACTAAAACTCAAACTGACCCTAAGTGCATTAAATGAGATCCTCCCTAGAAAACTCATAATTTAGTCAATAATGCCCAACTCCATACGTGATTGGGATCTTGTCCTCATGAGATGTGATCGCTGATGCCTTTTTCTGTATACTTTAATTTGAGTGTTTAAGTTCTCTGTGGGCAAGCAGTTGTCTCTCGTGACCAATTTGGCTTTGCTGCAAATATCTTGATTTGTATCCGAGTTCCAAAGATCTTCCATTGTTGAGATAGGGGTCCTCTTTTCTCCCTCTGAAGCATGGCCAAGAAATTCATCGCCCGAGTAAAGAGTTTGCTCAACGGATGCATCCTCAAAAGCAACAGAATATTGGTTACCGGTGAACTCATCTCTTGAGAAATTGACCTTAGGATTTGCAAATTCGTTAGTTCTTTCTTTCCCCCTGAGCGTCTCAATCAAATGATCTTGCTTACTCAAAAATGATGTAAGAATTCTCTCAAATTCTTTGATTAAAAACTGAGAAAGCGAATCCACCCCACTTGTCATAGAAGATTCAAAGAAATCCTTAATCATTATTAAAGAAGGATCAGTTTCCGGTACAAGTGCAGAGCTACAAGTGTCATTCGCAGTATGCAACACCAAGGATTTCTCAGAAGAGACAGAAAGTCCAATATCAACTTGAAATAATAATCCCGAAATAGAAAAATCAATCTCATGGGAGTGACACCCGTTAGCCATGTATGAATTCAAAAGACAATTCTCAAAGCTAGAATCAATTGTACCTGGTAAAATCTCACACGAATCTTGTTGAGTTGTTAGAGATGTTGATAAAGGTGCAAAATCCTTCATCATCAACTTAAATGCTCTTGAAATCCCTACCAGAAATCGTTTAATCCCTAGTCCATTCCGTCCTTCTGGAATAATTAAGAATTCGCCACCCTTCTTCTCAATGATGCAAAAAAATCCGCCAAAAAAATTAGCGTCATGAGAAATGACCAGAGAGCTCTTCAACTCAAGTCTAATGCAAGACCAATTGTCTTCTAAAAGCTTGAGAATGGACTTTTTCAACCAAATAACCATATTCATATCAAGGTCAATTGAGGATATAATCCCATTTTTTGCTTCACATATACGAATCAAATCAGTAGAAACAAAGAACCCAAATGTCTTGCTTTCAATAGTGATTTCAAAATTATTTGTGTGAGGTAAAAATGATTCTTTACCAGACCAGCCAATCAGTTTCACATCCTGGTAAAAGTCCCCCCCAATCTGTGATGAAGCCTCAGAAAAACGTGGAGCCTTATGTCGATGTCTGCTGTTCCAGTGTGCCCTGGGCGTTGTCCGTTGTTTCCGTTCTCGATCCAGAGTGTACTGAGTGCGGTGTGATTGCTTGCTGAATTCGAGCCAATCTGCATAGGGGGATGAGCAGCTCCCAAAGTTCACAGGTTCCTTCTGATTATATTTTGTCCTCAGACGATTGAAGCCTCTCTTACCATCGCGTGTTATCAGCCAAGGTGAAGACGAGACCCACTGTCTCTGTGAATCCCTATTAGCAGTCGGCCGCAATTCCTTCTGGACGCAGAATGGACGCCGTTGGTCGCTGCCTTTGAGCCAATTAGTCCGTCGTTTAAGGGAAGCCTGGCTTCCTCCTGTCGAAGTTCGGTGCTTTCCATAGCTGCAATCTTTCTGTGAAGGTACATCCAGACCGATAGATGTTTGAAATATGCTGTCAACGCCCTCCGGTATCCCTCCTTGATGGTCCCAAACTTGCTGGTTGGCCCCTGCAATGTCTACCAGGAACGAACCGAACTGGAGTTGGCTTCTTCCCTCCTCTCTAGTGTTGGCCGCGCCGGCGGCGCCGGAAATCCCTAAACTCGCCAGATCCCTAAACCCCTAAACTCACAATCCGCCAGATTCTGGCGGGAAGCGACAAAAAAACTCTACAGAATACAAATAGTTTTCGATAAATAACTCTACACTATAAAATATGAAACAAATAAATGTCATGATAGGTCTCTAACTCACCAGAAATTTAATAAAAAATTTATACTATCACGTTCTTTAAAAGTTGTAACAATTTAACTTTTACGTTCGCCAACACTCAACTTTGACATTAATTATATGGAGTATGTAATAACTTATTAGTAAACATTAAAAAAGTTATTATTTTGAAAATTTACATTAATAGAAGTTTAATAACATTTTATAATGACAATAAAAAAGATAGGTGATGAATAGTACAGAAATCTCAATGTTGAAACTTTTAAAGAACAAATGAAGTATTATTAATGTAATATATATATATATATTAAAATATATATATATATATATATATATATTAATATATATATATTATGTATATATATACATTAATGTTGAAACTTTTAAAGAACAAATGAAGTATTATTAATATATATATATATTAATATATATATATATATTATTAATGTTATATATATATATATATATATATATATATATATATATATATATAAAATATGATTTGTTCACACCGAATTTCGTGTACCAAAAATAAAATATCCCAACACTAAAATACATAATTTTGATATCGTAACATAAGTTTTTTAAGTCCGAAGTAGATTTATTTTAAATTATAATTGAATAGAATATACCAGTATCAAATTACATTTTTGTTATAACTTTTAATTGAGATTTATTTTTTAAATGCACATATGAAATTAAATATTTATCAATTAAAATTACAGGAAAAAAAAGAATATTATTTTAAACGAATATGATAAAATTTTATTAAAAAACATATGTTAATTACTTAATTTCAATTACATCAAACAAATATGATACGGAAATTAAATACTTGTAAATGAAAGAATGAATCAACTGTTGAATGTGGTCTAGTGGTTTCGAGTCCAGAATGCAACAAGGTTGAGCGTTCAATTTCCGGTGGATTCTCACTTTTTTTAATCATATGACTTTCCACACAATGGTTGGTGACATGGAGTGACCGGTGGATGACCTGGAATAAGTGACATGGCAAATCTGGATGACAAGGCAAAACTACCTTCGTTTGAGAAATAAGTTTAAAAGTATCCATAATTGGGAAATAAGATTCAAAACTACCCTCATTTCGTAAAAAACTCATCAATAGACATACGCTTAAACATCATATAAAAAGTCAAATACTTAAGTAGGAAGTACTCCGTACTTAAGTAGAAACTATAAATACTTCACGGAGTATATTGAACATTCGAACTATTTGACTTTTCCCCCCAACTTCCTGTTGACCGTTATTAGAAGGTATATATATCGGCCATTTCCATTAAAAAAAAGGAAAATGGAAACTAATAATCCAACCTTTTAGCGGTCTTCTTTCAATAATCCCACCTTTTGATTATTCATGAATAATCCAACCTTTGCACCTCATCTTCATTCACTGGTCTCTGACCGGTTGATGACCTGCTATTCCAAGCTATTTTCTTATCTTTGCAAATCATTGCAAGTCATTAACCTACCAGGGACCAATGAATGAAGATGAGGTGCAAAGGTTGGATTATTCATGAATAATCAAAAGGTGGGATTATTGAAAGAAGACCGCTAAAAGGTTAGATTATTAGTTTCCATTTTCCCTTAAAAAAAAGTGTATACGTTGTTTTTCCCTGAAGTCCTCCATCTGCTTGCGAGTGATGGGGAGGCCGGTATTGGAGTTCCGAGCAATGGACGATGACGCCTGGTACAGCGTGAAGGTGGACTTGAAAGGAGAAACTCTGTCGATCGAGTTCCATGGCGTTCAGGAGACCGTCAAATTCGCGGCTTCCAATTTTGAGTCGGAGAACGCCATCGACCGCCTCGTCAGAAGGTTTAGGGTTGTTTCTCCGCAGCTTCAGGTTCGCGAATGTCCTGGAATCACAGAAGGCTCCCTTGTTTGCGCTGTATGCAACACCTTCGGCGGGGACGACACGCGCTACTATGATGCCGTTGTCGAAGCAGTGAGTCACCTGCTCGCTCTAGAACACCTTTAGATTCGGTACTGTATATGAAATTTCTGTTAATTTCACTTCTTTCTTATATTTTGGTATATCAGCCCCTTGCTTAGATCATTTCTAATTGGTGTAATTAGTGACTTAGTGTTGCGTTTCATGGCGCTCATGATTTTAGCTAAAGTTGTTTATGTATAAATGAGTATAATCAACAGTCTTATGGAATGATAGAACCTGAAATTGTGCAAATGTCTAATGTGGATATGGGTAGGTCTTCACTGTGCTACTCAAGTGCTCGGCTTTTCAATCCTCAACCGCCCCTGAAGTAATTTACTATTCGTAGTTTCTGGATAAGGATGTGTTTTGAGGAACTACTCCTACTAATGAAGGGAAAACATGTCTTCCTTACCATCGTTAGTTTAAATGGTAATTGGATATTATCTTCTTAGCTTGAAAATCAGTAGAAATATTTGTGGAGTAACCCTCTTGTATGGCAGACTGCAATATTAGCCTGGCCTGTTGTCAAACTTGAACAAATGTCAAATAAATGCTTTGTGCTTAAAATGTAAACAGTGTTTTGCGTTACTCCATTATGTATGTAGTTGATTCCTTTAAAAAATGTAGATGAACCATTGTTTAATGCATTTGTAATCTTGAATTGCATTGTAAATCATTAATATCAATTTGATCTAAAATATTTTAATATTCAGTTTGACTATTTTGCATTCAATTTGGAACCAAGGCTTGAAAATATGTTTTTCTAAGATAAAATTATCCCCTGTATTAGTAAAGCAACATCTCTCTCCCTATATGTAACTCTATTATATTATTCCTAATATATGACTATTGCTCATTATCTCACGTGCATGGTCATTCTTATGTTTTTTTATATTCCAGTGGCTGCAGTCCAGTTCTCTAGATTAAATATAGGAAGTATTTAGTTCTTCCTATATACTACGTAGTCGCTAACTGATATGCATTATGCACAACTACTATCAAATATCAATTAATTAGGGTGTCTATCAATAAGTATTCCTAAAAATAAGGAATTAGTTTAATATGGTAACCCTTCCTTAAGTATTATTGTGTTTAATATGTCTATTAATTATGTTTTGTGTACTGACTACAGAATACAAGGATTTACTGTGATTTTTGTGTTTACACCCTATTCAATGTGTTAATTTGTTACCCATTTCTTTATTGTCCTCTAATTTTACTGCGTATGCTCCCCCATCTGCATTTACTCCTTCGATTATAGGCGCATGCTTCTCAAACCTTTACTCTTCTCTTTTGTAGTGATCCTTCAATTATAAGGGTATTATGGTTATTTCCCTAATTATACTACCCATGCGTCCATCCGGTCCATGTTTTTCACGATAAGCATAGTGATACCACACATACAAAACATAGTTAGTCATACATTAGGAAAACACTTGTGTTTAAGACTTTTAGTATTATCTAGGTATTTAACCAGGAAAAAGAGATGAAAATCATGAACCATGCATCTAAAGTTCTATTGTGAGTAATATATTTCCAGACCTAAAATAACAGGGGAGAAAATATAGAGAAGAATCTAGCACATCATATTGGGATGAGCAGTATCTGTGCTTTCAAATTCTGAAGTCTGAATTTCCATCTCACCTTTTCCTTGGTGGTTTTATATTTGTCAGGTGGACCGAAGAGACCATTCATTTGTGAAAGGAGAATGTTTATGCACCTTTGTGCTATCATGGCTTCATGGTCCCAAAGTAGGACTTTTAACCAATGCGAGTATTGCAAGCATATGTACTGTAAATGATGATGGCCAGATTGATCCAATAATAGCTTCCTTCTCAAAATTGGCCAAAAGAAAAGTTTTAAATTCCTCTGGCAAGAACACCGTTGTTTCTGCCAATGAAGTATCAGCCAGATTAGCGCTCCCTAAAGGAGGATGGAATCAGTTGTTGTTCATTGATGATAAGAGGAAACCTTCATTCCAGGCTAGATTTCCCAATTTCACTTTGTTAATCTAGAATCATTTTTTTTTACATGCAGTTAGGAATTATGCTTTAAATAGTCAATAATCGTCTTCTCCACATTCTGCAGGACATTCAGAATAAATGGGAATCAATTTATGGCAATGGGGAAAGCGCAGGTTTGGTGCTGAATTCCAGCCTTCATTTCAATTTCGTAGAACATGGTTTACAAACCTATTACTCTCTCCCTCCCAAATAACATTGTTTTAACAAAAAGATTTGTTTTTGTAAGAGTATTTGCTGCCTCTTTGGTCTCCCCCCCCCCCCCCCCAAGGTGTAGAAACCTTGAGCGACCATGATTGTCATCAAGATCAAGATCAAGATCTAGGTGGTGAACCATCAAACTGCTTTTTCATAGTAATTGGGAATATGGAGAGAAGCTTATCACCAGCATCAATACAAGAGTTCATAAACAGACATGCTTGTGTTTCACCGGAAGTGTATGTTTTGCCAAGTCCCCTGCCAACACACTTTACAAAAGCTGTTCTTTTATTGGATACAAAGAAGAAGCACGACAAAGTGTGCCAATTTCTTGACAATCCTGATCATTTTGTAGTGTCCATGAGTGGAAGGTATGCCTTCTGGACTCCCCACCTTTCTCTTGAAAGTGCTACTGTACTGCAGTGATATTCATCACCATTTTTTAAAGACAGTAGCTTTGATAGAACCCAAATGAAAATATATAGGCCGAGAGACTGACGAACATCTTGCATTGTGTAAACCTTTCTGATCTTGCCACAATTTATCCATCAAACATCCTTGCTTATTCACGGGATGTACCTCTCTGATTAGTTTTTTTTGTTTTATTTTTAGACCATGGGTTTTGATTGAATGTGACACAAAGCTTGGAATAAATGGCAACTCACTCGGGAGCCTAGCGGACCTAGCCTGCGATCAGGTAAGCTCCAAAGCATTTATATATTTTTAACACAAAGGGAATAGGATACGTTCTTTTACCCAGGGTATGAAAAACACCTCTTGTACCCTAGTGCTAAATCTTCTTGTGCGGGAAAATCAGGATGATAGTTATTCGGATAATGAAGTAGCGATGGTAGTTCATTCCGGTTCTGAAGCGTATAGAAGGGCCAAGCGATTGAAGGAATTGTTTATGGACTTCTCTAACCATGAGCAGCTGCTCTTGAAGAGATTGAAAGAAGAAGAGGCGAGGGTCTTGTAGCAAAATTAGGTTAGGTTGGATGTACAGGATGAATTGTGTGACTCGTCTTCAGTTTTGTCGTCTATATGTATAATTGGGAATGTTCATTGCTTTGTTATCATTTGTGCATATGTATGGGGGTGTTTGATAACGATTTGATCAATACTTTTTTGGCGAGGTTAGTTTCAACTGTTTTACTTCGTCAAACAACATTATTATGCTAGATAAATGGTTAAATATTTTATCTTGTTTTCATTAATAAATTGAAAATGAGAAACCACTCCGAATATCTTTTTATGCTGGTCTAACAATTTTATGTTTGTATATTATTTTTGTTCATACGAAACAACTACATTATTACTCAGTCTAAAAACTAAAGAGGTAACTAAAAAACGGAATTGATTACAAAGGGGATCGGAGTACATAGATTGAGCAAAAGCATGCAGTTGTTTGTCGAGAAGGATGATTCGTTGGGAGTATGAAAAGGGATGCGAGTTCAGTGAAGATTGAAAGAAAATGGGGGTGTAGACAGTAGAGTTATAAGAAGAGGAGTCGTGGGTAAATTAGGAAAATTGAGAGAGAAATTGGAATAACAATGTCTAAATGCTAGTTTTTGGGGTGTTTTAAGTTTTGATTGTTTGGATAAAATTATAAAAAGCCAAACAAAAAAAAACTATGTAACCAAAACCCATATTGGTTGATTCATCTAATCAAAAGAAGAGTCAAGAATAGATTATGAAAATTGGGAGAGAAATTAGAATGGCAATGCCTCTAAATTAGTCCTGGACTCGGGCCGGGCGGCCTGGCCCGGCCCGGCACTGTTTGGCCCGGCCCGAGGCCCGGCCCGGTCACTGCAGACGAACCGAACCGGCCCGACCCGGCCGCGGGGCGGTCCGGGCTCGGGCCCATGTTTTTGTGAACCGGCCCGGCCGGTTCGGGCCCCGTCCGGGCCGGAATATTTTTTTTTTTAATTTTTTTTAACTTTTAGGTTGGAAATAGGTATTTTGGGCCATTTGAGGTGGTTTGGGATGGTTTGGGGTTGAGGGGGAGGGGGAGGGGGATAAATAGGAGAAGAAAAAAAAATATATAACCGGGCGGCCCGGCCCGGCCCGGTTTGGCCCGGAACCGGAACCGCCCACCGGTGGTCCGGGCCCGGGCCTCCATTTTCTGGCCCGAGGCCCGGCCGGGCCCGGGCCCGAACCGGCCCGAGGCCACCCCTACTCTAAATTTAGTGGTGTTTTAAATTTTGGTTGTTTAGGTAAAAAGCCAAATAAAAATAGTCAAATGTAAACAAACATCCATATTGGCAGATTCATCCAATTAAAAGATCAAGTGCATGTTTGGTAGACAAAAGTTGTCTTCAAGCATTTGTATTGTTTAAAAAGTGTCTAAAAACTTTTAGTTGTATGTTTGACATAACAAAATTTAAGAGCTTTTCAAAAAAATAAAAGATCTTTTTTTATATGCTAGGGGTAGTAGAATCTGAGAAAAGACCGTGACTTTTAGTATTAGTTTGTCCTAACAGCTTTTATGCCAAACAGAACTAAATCAAACAGTCGGTTTTTTTAACAAACAGCTACCACCTTTTCTTTTTAAGACCTTTTCAGTCACTAAAAGCTAACAATAACTAAAAAGGTTACAAAAATATCTTTTCTGCTAACCGTGCCAAACACACTCCAAATATTGGTAACAACCAAAAAAGGGCTTTTGGAATGCTTGCAAAAGCTTTTTTTTTTTTTTTTTTGAGAATGCTTGCAAAAGCTTTTTAAAGCATTTTTCTACTTTATGCTTACAAAAGTTAGAAGTACTGTGGCGTTGCTTTTTTTAATTTTTAAAGCTAAATGGTAAACATTGTAATGGGGGTACGCTTTAAACTTTTCTTTTATCTTTTTAACAAATTACCTTCTGGAATTTATATTAAAAATCTACTTAAAAGCTTTACTACAAAACTCATTCATAGAGTATATAGACTCGGATCGCGGGTATCATGACTATTTGGCCCAGACAGCGGCCCACATATGCTTAGTAGATAACATTTATTTCCTTGTACACTATATTTGTTCATATGTATCCATTAGAATATATTAGATACCATTTATTAGTCTTTTATTGGCATTTTATTGTAGTTGGGCCTTCCAGGCCCAAGCCTGGAAGCCCAACCCTCTTTTCTCCTATAAATACTCCCTATGGGAGCCATGTAATGGGTGGGAAGTTGGAAAGATTGGAAAATATATATCACTTTGTCTCTCTAGCTCTCCCTTCTCTCTAGATAATTAATATATCACCCATCTTTTACTACAAAAAAAACCCATCTTTTGTTCACTTCTATAATTAGTTTGCAAAATTGAGTAATTTTTTTAGAATAGATTACCAAACACTCATTTTATGGATGAATTTTTATTCATGATAAAACCATCAAACTAATTAAGTTTATTTCACATATTAGAAAGATCGTATATATTTTTAACTCTAACTTGGGATAAATAGTATTCATACTTAACAAAAAATCATCACCATCAAATAAAGTGTTAGAGCATCTCCAGCGGTTAGCTAATTGCCTTCATATTTTGATAGTCACATAAGATTTGTAGCAAAATTGAAATACACACCATCAAATAAATCCTCTTCATTTATTATTTATAATGCTATATTTAATAATTTTCCTTCTCTTTCATAAAAAACTAATTCTCGTTCTCAAGCTAGTAGCTCATTTAAGCTAATTAGCTTTCTAAGCAAAAGGAAGAGCAATGCTCTAAAATAGTAAAATGATAGACTAGTAGGTTCTAAATTGTAAGCAAGTTCATACAAGTAATCATTATGTTCTAATGACAATACCGATATCATGCCTAAAAATGTCAAACTTTTTAACGGAAGTGTATACCATACAGCCGGCTGTACGGCTGACACCCGGTGGCATTTTTGTAATTTTGATGAAGTTCATGGTTTCTCTTAAATGAGCATCGATGTAATTTTGGTGGGCATCGAGTCTATTCTTCTGAATTTTAGGAGCCTAACAATGAGCACCAGTGATCAAAGCCGGCTTTGGGCCCTAGGAAGGTAGGCAATTGCCTAGAGCACCACTTGGAGAGGGGCACCATTTTGTTTTATGTAGTATTGCTAATAGTGTACTTAGTTGAAATGAAATTAAAATATAGTACTTCGTATAAAAATTGGAAAACAAAAAGGCCCACTAACCCATCATCCATACATCCGTATCCTATTAAGCTATTACTCATGTGAATGCTTAACAACATTTACATTTGGTTTTGAAATTCTTTATTTAAAACTAAATTAAATGATACTAGTACTCGGTAATGAATAGAACCCACAATGCAAGGCACATTCAATATTATATATTTATATGTAATATTATGGTTATGCTTACAAAAGTTAGAAGTACTCTCTCTAAGTTGTTACTCTAAAAAAAAATTGTTGCTTTTGTTTAATTTTTAAAGCTAAATGGTAAAAATTGTGTTGGGATATATTATCCCGGCCTATTACTGTTCAGAAGCCCAAGACATTATTCAGTACGGAGCCCGAGCAGCTAGGCCCATTTCGGCCCATCCGGCCCACTTTAGCCATTTGGGCCCACTCCGGCCCATGCGGCCCATTAGGGTGGAGAGCATTCCCTTCCCCTATTCTCTATAAATATGGGAGTTTCCCTCCATATTAGGAATCCCTGCTTTAGCTTCTTCTTCCTTATTTCTCTCTAGCTAGCTCAATACTCCATAAATGGAGCTCAAATTGTACTATGTAATGGTGAGGAGAGATTAATGAGAATGAGAGGGCTTGGACATTAGCCTAAAAAAGTCCCGTGGTTTTCTCCCTTTCGGGTTTCCACGTAAAAATTGAGTGTTCATACATATATTTACTATATCGTGTTGGATTAAACTCAACAAATTGTAATGCCGGAAATTGGACGATTTAAACATTTCTTCTATCTTTTTAACAAATTACCTTAAATGGTAATTAAATTAAAAATCTATTTAAAAGCATTACTACAAAACCCATCTTTTGTCCACTTCCATAATTAGTTTGCAAAATTGAGTACTCCCTCCGTCCATAATAAACCTTCCAAATAGGTTTGGCACAAAGTTTAAGAAAGTGGGTATTGTGTGGTGGAGAATTGTGCAGAGGAGAGAGAAATGTGTAAGAATTGTTGTGAACCACAAATTATGGCCAAAAGGGGAAAATGAAAGTTTTAATTGGGACAGACGAAAAAGGAAAGTTGGAAGTTTATTTAGAGACGGAGGTAGTAATTTTTTAGAATAGATTGTAAAACACTGATTTTATGGATATTTATTCAAGATAAAACCATCAAACTAATTAAGTTTATTTCACATATTAGCGAAGTAGGGCCTAAAGGTAATATGATATCCAGAGGATTCGAGTGAAATTCGGTTTGTAATAAACAAAATACGGAGTAAAACATTTGACCATGTCCTAATTCATGCATATTCCTACACGTCCTCTTTCCTTTTACGTTCTCTGCCATCTCTCAATGCCTTCCATCTAAAATGCCGAACTTCTGAATCGCCATTTCCATTGCCGATTCCGGATCCTTGGTTGCGGCTGAGGAAAATGCTCGAACGGTTCTTGAGTCCTCGGCAGGTGTGGCGTTTCCGGCGGCATCTCCGTAACTGTAAGCTAACGCTCTTCTGCCTCATCCTCACCGTCGTCGTCCTGCGTGGAACTATCGGCGCCGGAAAATTCGGGACTCCAGAGCAGGACCTGAAGGAGATTCGCGATACACTCAACTATTACCGCAAACGGTCCGAGCCGCGCCGGTTTCTCGAAGAGTCGTCATCCGGCGACGGCTCCGGCACTAACAGTTACAACGGCTTCGACATTACTAAGGTCATGGTTGATGAAGAAGATGGGGAGGCGGAAGTGGAGAAGGATCCGACTAAACCGTACAGTCTCGGACCGAAGATTACCAATTGGGATCGGCAGAGAGGTCTTTGGTTGAGGAGAAATCGAGATTTCCCCAATTTCCTCCATCACAATAAACCTAGGGTTATGTTAGTCACCGGGTCATCCCCGAAACCTTGTGAGAACCCGATTGGGGATCATTACTTACTAAAAGTGATTAAGAACAAGATTGATTACTGTAGGTTACACAGGATTGAGATTTTCTACAACATGGCTCTACTTGATCCAGAAATGTCCGGTTTTTGGGTCAAACTGCCATTGATTAGAAAGCTTATGCTGTCACACCCTGAAGTTGAGTTCTTCTGGTGGATGGACAGTGATGCAATGTTTACAGATATGGCATTTGAGCTACCATGGGAGAGGTACAGGAATTATAACCTAATAATCCATGGTTGGGATCACATGGTGTATGGAGACCGGAATTGGATCGGGTTGAACACGGGCAGCTTTTTACTAAGAAATACCCAATGGTCATTGGACATTCTTGATGAATTAGCCCCGATGGGGCCGAAAGGGAAGGTTAGGGAGGAGGCAGGGGAACTCCTGACGAAGGAGCTTAAGGGCAGACCAGTTTTCGAAGCTGATGATCAGTCTGCAATGGTGTATTTGTTGGCAACCCAAAGGGATAAGTGGGAACCTAAGGTGTATTTGGAGAGTACTTATTTCTTACATGGTTATTGGGGAATTTTGGTGGATAAGTATGAAGAAATGATGGAGACTTATCACCCGGGTTTCGGCGATCATAGGTGGCCACTCGTGACACACTTTGTGGGTTGCAAGCCTTGTTTGAAGTTTGGGGACTATTCGCTCGAGCGCTGCTTGAAGCAAATGGACCGTGCATTCAACTTTGGGAGCAACCAGATTTTGCAGATGTATGGGTTCATCCACAAATCACTCTCGAGTAAGAGAGTGAAGAGGATTCGGAATGAGACTAACAATCCTCTTGAAATAAGAGACGAGTACGGTTTGCTTCACCCGTGGTTTAAAGCTATCAAGCTGTAGCCCTCTTAACTAAGTGCAATCACAGATTGCATTCTCTTCCAAGTATAGATAGTAAATTGATTTTTTGATTTACCATTTACTTAATTATTGTTATACAACATCTCCAAGTATCAATTTTTTGTTTAGATTTCTTGTCCTAGCTTGCAGAAGTTGTAGTTTTTCTGATTTTTTTACTCAGTTTCATACAAAGTACTACGTATAACACATGCAGCCAAAAGCAATATTAACTTTGTGGAGATTAAAGTGGAACAAACTGTGATGAGAATACTGGGAATAGTGAGGAACACATTCCCTCAGAAAATGCCGTGTGGTTTCTCCCAGATGTGTTATAATTTGGGCACAGTATGTCTTCTGGTGAGAATTAGAATATCAAATGGAGTTTATTTCTCCCTATCGTGAAGGACAATGATTCTCGGCAACTTCAATGGAAATATGTGTCATGGCTCACTTTCTGATACATTGATCTTTGTTCCATATATTTGGGCACAATAGCATTTTAGATAAGGAATGATGATAACGATGCTTTGTTTTGGGAATAGAACTAATGCCCATTTCGCAAGTGTTACTGTGAGACTCCACTCATTTTGTAGTTATACTACGTAGAGTAGTCTTCAAATTCGTGAAGAATAAAGAAGATGAATAATCTTGTAATGAAGTTATGAAGGGGCACTACCTAAAAAGTAATTCTCTGTAATATGAGATATGATAGTTAAGTTATGAAAGGTCAATCCAACTTTACCCTATACAAAAATTTATTTTTATAGTGGAACTCTCTACTAACGAGGCAATGATTGCCCAAATCCCGATCCCGTCCCGATCCCGATTCAAACTACAAGAGGATCCCGTATTCTGTCCCGATTAAGTTGGGATCCCGACATTAAAATCCTGATTAAGTCGGGATCCCGATCGGGAATCCCGCTTAATCCCGCTAAATCTCGACAATGAAGTATCAAACATAAAATTATGTAATTTCTTTAGTTAAACACTAACTTTGATATTTAGTAGTTTCAAGATTATTCTTTGTTCATTGTTATATCATATTTATCATCATCTACTTATAAAATTTATTGTAATAATTATCATCTCAAATTCACACTAGTACATACTTTTAGAATAATTTTTATTTGTAACTTCAATTAATTAATAGTATAATTTTTTATTAAGCTATGAAGACTTAGTGAAACTTATTTCAAACATTATATAAAAATCACTAAAAGAAAGATGTGTAACGTATATTATTTAAAATTCAAAACTAAGTAGACTCATAGAGAAACTAAAGAAAAAAATCTTATTCTTGACCATGACTTTTTAAAGAGTTCATTAGAATCACAAACTTTGTAATATTGTTGTGATTTAGATTGTCGGGATCAAGAATAATCTCCATTTAGTTAGGATCCCGAATATTCATTATTTTCGAATAAATGCCGAATAGTTTTAGAAGTTTGATATTGTAAGATGCTCGTAGTAAAAGATAAATCTATGTAAGGAATAAGTAATTAAAAAAGATATGCAAATATTTAGATACATATTCATTTTTATAAATGTATATTCATTTGTTATATATTCATATATAATTATATACATGTGTGTGTATATATATAATGTCGGGATGTCGGGATTTTCCCGATCCCGACTTTTTTTTTTAAAAAAATCCCGGTCCCGTCCCAACTTAGTCGGGATCGGGAAAAATTCCCGACTAGTCGGGATCGGGATTTTTGGGACTGGGATTGTCGGGATTGGGATCGGGAGTCGGGAGTTTTTCCCCAGCCCTACGAGCAATTCCCCCCCCCCCCCCCCCCCCCCCCCCCCCCCGTAACGGAGTAACGGAGTACGTAGTATGCCATAGCCCCGGGAGTTCTTCTATCTGCATGTGAACCCGCTTGGAGAATCTTTGGATTCCACATTCATTATAGGGACGTCGCAGTTGAACGTCTAAGCTTTCATCTCCCGGGGCAACATAGTGTGTACTATAATCCTAAAGAGTTTGTCGGTTCTGTTCTTAGACGTCCTACTATCCAACTACTAAGTTTCTAGCTTAGATGCATGCAAACAGTGTGTATCCTCAAGGAGCTTGACTTATGCTGAATTTCCTACCAAGTTCACGTGGAAAGCCAAAACAAGAGAGTGGGTACCAAGACAAAGAAGCACCACAATCGGAAGACTATACTTCATGCGACCTGGAGCCGGAGAGAAATATTATTTAAGGATGCTCCTTGGTGTCGTGAAGGAGGATAGGAGTTTTAAAGAACTCAGGACAATTGATGGAGTCGTACACTCGACGTTCAGAGAAGCTTGTTGTGCCCGTAGTATGTTAAATGACGATAAAGATTATATAGATGGACTCAGAACAAAGCCATTGGGCAACGGGGCATGAGCTTCGCATCACATTTGTTCATCTCTTACTACAAGAGTCGTTATCTATGCCTAATATGGCTTGGGAGAAGTGTTGGCCCTATCTATCTGATCTATTAGGAAGAATCTCAATAATCAAGGTATGTTTATTATTTAATGACATGCCTTAAATTTAGATAAATTTAATAAATTCCAATATTAAGAATGATGTAGATGTACAATAAGCAAGATAATTTGAATTTGCAAATTATCTTTTCATATATATTATATTGAAAGATCATTATTCGCTAATATCAAATATTTGAGACTTTTTATCGTAATAAATTGCATATTAAAATTTACTCTTATATACATCATAGATAATTTTAAAATATTAAGGACTTCTGTTAACAAGTGTTCATAAATAGTTCATTATATATAATTTAATAAACTATTATTTAAGATAGTAGTTGGTTTGATAATTTGTTTCTTAATTACAACATCACATTTACAAATGTGTTGATTGTTTATAATACAAATAAATTCAATTCTATTACCATATAAATATTTTAAAAATATTCTGATTACATCTTAAATTTATTAATATTAAAATTTGAAATGGGCCATTTTTTAACAAAACTGCAGCTGGATGAGAAGCAAATAAAGAATTATTGTTTGCTGGAAATTGAAAAACTTTTACAACATCGTGGAAAGTCTCTATTCTACTATGACGGAATGCCTCGAGTAACGGATCTTGAAATTCCTTCTCTTCATGATATTTTGATACACGAGGAATTGAGATATGACAGGAATGCTTTGGCGGAGGAAGATGCTAAATTTATTTTCACCGTGACGGAGGATCAAAAGCGTGTTTACGAGACAATAGTGAGTACACATATTTGTACGGGCACAGTGGTACAGGGAAAACATATTTGTGGAAGACCTTATCAGCATATGTAAGGCATCAAGGAAATATTGTGTTGAACGTAACTTCAAGTGCGATCACATCATTGTTCCAAGTGGAAGAACGACACATTCCAGGTCAGTTTTTTTTAGTTTTTAAAACATATATTTCCAAATAAATACTAAGACAATGAATTGTAAATTTCAGGTTTAAAATCTCACTCACAGCAGCATAAGATTCAACTTGCAACATAAAACCAGGAAATGCGCTTGCGAAGCTAATTCAAATGACAAAATTGATAATTTGGGACGAGGCACCATGACCAATAAGTACTGCTATGAAGCTCTTGATCGGACTATGCGTGATATTCTTCAACATTCATACGGTTGTGATGGAATGAGACCTTTTGGTGGAAAGACAGTTGTCTTTGGCGAAGACTTTAGACAGATTTTACCAGTTATTTCAAAGGGTAGCAGGCAAGATAAAGTATAGGCAACTTTAAACTCATCCTTCATTTGGCCATTTTGCAATGTGCTAAGGCTAACGAAGAACATGAGAGTGCGAAGTGGATCAGATGATCTTAATTCTGCATACATACAGAGATTCATTGATTGTATATTGAAGATAGGGGACGGGGTTCTGGGTTAAAATGACGATGGAGAATCATATATTGACATACCCGAAGTTTGTACGGGTACATACAGTTTTAGGTAGGCACCATAAAATTTTCCAAACAATAATGAAAGAAAAGAACCAAGCGATCTTATCTACGGAGTATTAGAAACCACCCGACAAAGTGGGTGATATATTTGAATAAAGGGAAAAGGTGCAAATAGCCCCATGTACTAACCAAAAAAGGTCAAATAAGCCTAATTTAGGAGGCTTTGTCCGGCCGTCGCCATTTGGAGTGGTTCTCGGTGGCGTTTTTTGATGAAATTTTTTGAGCATCTTATTCATTAAGTCTAGTTTCCTCATACCAAATTTCAGCTAAAACTTCAATCGGGAAGGCATTCAAATGAATTCTTGAAAATAACTGCGCAGTTAGAAGCGCAGTTATCTTCAAGAATTCATTTGAATGCCTTCCCGATTGAAGTTTTAGCTGAAATTTGGTATGAGCAAACTAGACTTGATGAATAAGATGTTCAAAAAATTTCATCAAAAAATTCCACCGGGAACCGCCTCAAATGATGACGGTCAGACAGAACTCCCTAAATAAGAGCTTATTTGACCTTTTTTTATTAGTACATGGTCTATTTGCACCTTTTCCCTTGAATAAATGAATGAATATAGGCAACAACTTTTACCGTTTCAATTGATAATTGGATATATATAAATGCCAAGCGAATCGGGAGGCTGCTATCAAGTCCACGCCGCACTCAGCTCCATCGCTCCTCTACTATCCGGCCGCTACCTGTATGTATACTACGTATCATTTGCTCCATTACTCACATCAAACTGAAGCAGCATTTCCACTATCACATTCATCTAATCATCACTCTCAAGAGATCAGATCGATCCAAATGGAGTTTTGTAATCATCACTTCATAGTTCCCAACTTCCCATCTCCATCATCATCACCGCTTTAGCCATTACCATTAGAGAAACGGCATCCCAAACTCTTCTCAATGGTACTAATGTGGCCGAAACCCCGACACCCCAAGGTGCCGGATATTTCGTGGCGAAACCCCCCAGGCGCGCCGGGTCACCGAAATCGGCCATCGGTTCACAGAAGTCCGCTGTCATCAATCAATTCGTTGACGGGGCGTACGCGGAGGCATACTGCGAGATGGAGCACTCGGAGGTTTGTTTTCCAAAGGAGGTTTGGCAACATACAAGTAAAATACCCTGTTCATTTTAAATTCAGTATGTCCGTTCACAAGGAGATGTTTTTCCATAAATATTACTGAAATATAAGTAGCGAATAAAATATTACTATAATTACTACACACAATTACTATACTTTAGTCGTCACTAAGTCATATTTTTGTCATTTTCAAAAACAAAAAAAGTCATATTTTTATCGACTACCCCTATTTTAGTACTATCTCTGTCCCATATTGGTTGTTCACTTTCAATTTGGCACGCTTATTAATAAAGTGGTTGAAAAGTAAAAATTGTGATTGAGATTTGAGTAGAATAAAGTGAAATGATAAGAACCACATATTTCTTGCTAAAAAAAACAAGACATTCATTTTGAGACAACCAAAAAAGGAAAGTAGGACATCCAAAATGGGACGGATGGAGTATTATATTTGTCATTATTTCATACCACGTAGAAGAAAAACACGTATTAACAAAGATAGCCAAATCATGAAGTTTCAAGCAATAATTAGGGAGCAGCCCTCACTCTACCTCTGTATCCACACGACTTACCCTCTATCCTACTATTGCATTAACTTTCATTTTCAACCCATTCAAAATTGATATTTTCATCCGAATTAACATGGATATTTTTAAACTTTCAAGTGGGAATTTGAATCAACCATTTCACCTATTTCATTTTTGTACAGTCTGCTTGAAGTTTTTTAGCTCAAATTGAAAACTAAAATATACTCCATATATTCCATAATATTCTTGCAACTACTTGAAATCTCCCCATCTATTCAGATATTTGAAACACAGACATTGTGTACATTATATATGTGTATATATAACATTTGGGCAGAAATATGATGTTGCACATAATTAAATTTAGTATACTTTTAATTTAGCTCAATTAGTTTCTAATTACGAGATGTTCAAAGTAAATCATTAAAAATTATCATGCATACATAACAAAACTTTCTGGATCAGCCCCTGACCCCAGGCCCCCTCCCCGGACCCCCTGGGGTAAAAAAAATGACAAATATTTTTAAGGGGTGTAAATCATGAAATAAAGTTTTTGTTAAAACATGGCACAATAGTTGAATACAAAGTGTACAAAATCTTCTTGAGTCGCAAGTTAAAAGGTAAACTGTATCTTAGATATTAAAAGTAAATGAACTTCACGTTTCCAATGCATACCTGATGTTCAACCTAATAAAAAAAAAGTTTGTGTGGGGATGGAACAACATTCACTCTACATAGTAGAAGAGTATTAGGAGGATCCAGGCAACCATACCAAGCTATTCTGGTGGCGTATAAGTGAGTATGCTGCAACGTAGTCAGGCAGATCCTTTTTGACAACTTCGTGTGTAACAAGGTTGTACACAAAAATAGTGGATGCCACTTCCATGGATTTTACGCCACTCGGAATCAAGACCAATAGCTCTTTGTATTTTATCCAGCCAATCGGATAGACCTCTTTCCCCTTTTCTAAACCCCATCGTTGGAATTTCCTCTTATGATCTTTCAAGCAAATAACAATATGCAGCTTTCTCCACTCTTTGCTTTCTGGTTCCATCTCCCAAACATGCCACCCAAATCTCTCAAACTTTATCAAGAAAGACAACTTGCTTCCTGTCGACACCAAGATACTCCCAAGAAGTGCACCAAGTTGAGGGATCGGCTCACTGCTCTCCTCAACCATTTCAGTCTCTACATTTAAAGTCAAAACTGTAGTCCTGGTCACCCAATGCACAAAACCTTCGGTTGTACGGGGGATCTTGGTAAATGCCTCAAGAGGACAGTGTTTGATACAAACGGTCCTCCAGGAATTATCCACCCCCACCGTTAATATTTTTAGCGTAGAACCAACAACTGCGACCACTTTATACACCATGGAAGTTGCAACATAAGAGATAGCAAAATATTCTAAAGTGATTGCTGTCTTAATTTTAGGGAGCACAAAAATTTGCTTTGTTATAGGGTTTAATATATAGGGAGTCCATGAATCCTGGTTGTTTACGATCTCCAAAAGCAAACCATTACAGCTAGCTGAACTACGATGTTTTAATTTAGTTAAATAAGATATCTCCAATTGACCTTGCCTAGCCACCATAAAAAGTGTAGGTGTAAGGGGACAATGAAACAAAAGACCATGAGTTGAATGCCGAAGATGTGCATTTATGAACTTGTGGGTATGAATTATGCGGTACCACTTCCTACAAACATACATCGCCGCATCATAAATATCTTGAGCCGGGACACGTGTAAGAACTTCAAATAGCAAGTCATCATGAAGAGAAATAAAACTTTTTGAGATTCTCATTCTCCACCTCGTCAAATAATAAGTTCCTCCTGCAATCTGCGTATTAAAAGTGTTTCAAAATGAAAGGCAACTTGATCTATTTTTTCCTTCAAAAGATATATCACAACATATTATAATTTATAACACTTCTTTATCTCTTCCTTCCAAGCATCACATATTGATTTGGAGGGCCTGCTTTTTATTATTAAGAGGATTAGATATGGTTTAGCCGTTTAGGGTAACCAATTAATGATTGTTACACTAAATTTATACTTGGTATTGCTTAGCATTGAGTTTTTCTCCTTCATCTCCTTTTCGTTGCAAATAGAACCCACCCAAATTCCCAAACTCACTCTCAATTCCAACATACCAAGCATGGGGTCAAGGTAGGCTCAAATGCTTAACTTCAGCATATACTCAACTGAAAAGGTATGCTAAATTTGAGCATGGGGTGTCTTTCTCCAAGAATCTAATTATTTACTTTTAGTTCTTCACATTTTAATTTTCAATGATTACAAAAAGGATGTGAAAATATTTGCTAAGCATGTTGAAAATGTTGAAAAGATTGTGTGAGAGATTGCTCATTGCTTATTCTTATATTATTTAGGTCAACTCAACTCAAAAAGATTCATATTAGATCATAGACATTTCCATCATAATAGATCACATCAGAAAGATTCAAATTAGATCGGATTTGAAACATTTAGATCAGAAATATTCAGATCAAATCTGAAACATTGTGATCAATTCTAAATAGATTTAGTTTTATTATTCTTATTATTGTGGTTATTATTATGGTTATTTATTATAATCATCATTATTGTTGGTGTTGTTATTTCCTCTTTTAGTCTTTTCAAGTTTTCATGGCAAGGTTGGCATGTACCATGTATTCCATTAGTTCTACATTCCGATGAATAGACACTCCTCATCCAGCTTGTGAATCATAAGGGGAGTCAGCACATTCGCCAATGATGTCAATATGTGTATTTTATCTTTATTAAAAAATTCTTGTTCCCAACTATTGAGAAGCGAAAAGTGTGAAGGCCCTAAACATTAGCTAGAGCATCTTTTCCTTGGCTAATAGTTGACAGAGATTTGTTCATCAACTAAAAGTCATATGATCCCAAAATCCCAATCACATAAAGTATATCCCCAATTAATCGATGAAATTTACAACTACAATCCAAAGTATGAATTAGAGAAAACCTTGATATCTCGTAGGAAGAATGATGAGCAGCGTTCACACGTTCTCAAAATCTATGAAAGGCTATCGAAGGCTATCGAAGGCGGAAGTAACAGGGGCGATAATGTTATTTCTATTAGGTATATATTAAGGGGCATAATTGCCAAAAGTCAAGTCACAAAACTCAATCATAAAACTTCAGTCTTACTAATCCAATAACGCACTAGCAATATATGAAATAATTAATAGTCGGGTTTTAATAAATTGTTATATCTGTTAACAGTAATTATTACATAAATTGTGAATAATAATTTTTTGAAAATGTGGTAATAGTAATTAAAATAATTAATGTAATAAACTGTTGTATAAAAAATTGTTAATAAAAATGTTAATAATAAAAATTGTCTTAATACATAGTTAGTGAATTAGTGTTATAACACTATAATATACTCCGTATAGTCTTATATTATCATTATGTGACAAGTTATAAAATAATACATATTTTATTATTAAACTATCACATGAATAGATTTCTGTAGCAGGCTGGTTTGGCTAATCGGCTCTTTATTTTTGTTTTATTAATCAGTAGTATTTAAATAATTTAAATAATTTTATAAATTTAAAAATTTAAAATAAAATAAAAGAGAATAAATAGCAGAAGAAAAAAAAGTAAATACTTACCTGCGATGCAAGATAGCAGCTAAAGACAGGGTCGGAACTGCTACGCAAGAAGCAACGGAAGAAACCCCAAAGCAGAAGGCAAGGAAGAAGAAAGAAGACTAGAGAGACTTGGAGTTGGAATCGCCAAAAGACTGAAGCAACTCCATCAAACACTCCCAAGTCCCACCGATGATGCTTGAGAAGCGCGCGCCTCTCGGACATGCAAATGGCGTCAAAAAGGGCGGATTAAAGCGCGCCTCCTGGAACCTACGCCGCCTAGGGTGTATGATGCGATAAATACATCGCCCAAGTGCGCCTTGCGCCTTTGCGTGCTTGAGATGCGCTTTTTTAAACCAAGACTACGTGATTACAATCGTACATGCTCATTTGTACATTTTTATACATGTCCCCTGTATTTTGTCCGTATCACAAGAGTTTGACACGAACAAAATATACGGATGTGTACAAAGTGTGTATAAATTGGCATGTAGGCAAAGAATAACTCTACGCCTAATGGCGAGATGAGCATAAGCAAAGACATACTACCTTTGTTTCTTATAATTTTACCAAATTAGAAAACCATGTAGTATAATGGATAAAATGTATGATTGAAGATTGTGTGGAGAAGAAAGAAATTAAAAGAATCACTAATTAATTACTAAAGGGAAGTGGCGAAACTTTTTAGCCAATCAAAAAAGAAAAGTTGTCAAAAATAAGAAACGATGTCTGTACTGTATAATTGTATAATGTGATACCTCTACAGCTTCTTCATCCTCCTCACTGGCAGCAATCAATGAGCGAGAGTGTTGAGAGGGCAGAGGCGGAGGCGGAGGCTGACGGATGAGTGATGCTTGGATATTCCCCATTATGTATTAAGTTAATTGTCAAGTTGCAATGATGCAAAGCAATACAACGTTAACCAGTCGTTGTGTATTTCTTCCTTCGAACCTGGATTTAGCAAGAGCTTGTTAAAGAATCCACTGATTTGGCCTTCTTTATAAAAATGGCATTTAGGCCCGTTTCAGTAGTATTAGGCTATTAGCTTCTATCTACTGTTAGGATAGAAGTAGTTTCCCGTTAACACAAAAACTCTATTTTAGTGAAATTCCAAATAATAGAACTACCAATAGAAGTAGAGTTACTCAAATAGTGATCCGTCAAGACTTTAGAAACTACTACATCGAATAAATTGGAGTAATTCACTACAGTCTTGAGAAGGTTTGCACTTTGCACCCATCCTCTCTGGACTAAAACTAGGGTAAGCAATTTTTACTCATCCACTAGAATTTTCACCCGTGCGTTGCACGGCATGCAACTTGTACTTATTGAAATCATTCATAAGATATATAAATATGATGTTAAAGTTTCAAACTCAACATATATAAATTAATGTTAGAATATGGAAATAAAAATGTAAAACACAGTATAACAAAAAAGACATACCTATAAATCAAATAAACATTAGACCTTCATGCATACAAAGCTCAATGAAAACTTGGTTAATCCGTATCATTGTCACAAATCAGAGCTCCATAAAATTTATTGTTGTATCAGAAGAAACAACAAAATAATATACTATATAAAATATATGCTCATAAAGCAATAGAACTACTGTGAAAAATACACATTATACACTATCATAGACGTTGTTTATGGGGTGGAATCATTACATCGCCCAAAGCAGACTTGGTTGATATCATAAACGTCCCACATATGTATAAAGTTGTGATACATGGGTTAAGCTAGGGTATGGACATGGGTTAAGCTTGTTTGTTGCAGGGCATACCCGCCCACACAAATGGACAGAAACTTAGAACAACGTAAGACCTTACAAATCCAGTTAAGATGGAAGCATCAACAATATTAGATTCCTATAGTTCGTTAAACCAAAAAAACGAAACGCACCTGCTTCCGCCTAATCCGAAGAAGCTGTGCGAACACAAGCAAAGGCAGAGCCCTGCCTCAAACGAACGAACCCAAAGCCGGAGCACACCTAAAATCGGAAACCCAAAGCCTTCACCAAAGAGAAGCCCTATCCGTCTGACTTGTGCGATCCAATAACAGACCAAAGCCTCAACACTTTTAGTTAGTTCAAACCTTTTAAGGAGTGTTTGGGATTAATTAAAAAAGCGCTTTTCAGCTTTTGGCTTAAAAAAAGTTGAAAAGGGTGTTTTCAAATGATAGCTTCTGCTTAAATTAATCACTTAAAAGCTAAAAGCTGGAAGCAGGTATAAAGGTGCTTTAAACTGCTTCTCACTTTTTCTATTACACAAAAAGTACTTATTTTACCAAACACTACCAACTTTTACTTTTTCAGAATCACTTTTTTCTCAAACACTACCAACTTTTACTATTAATCACTTTTCCTAAAATCACTTTAAAAAATCACTTTTTTAAAGTTGAAGCAATCGCAAACACTCCCTTAGTCTAACAATAAGTATCCTGATCTCTCCTTCATATCTTTTAAGTCAATTTTTTTTATAAAAACTTATTAATTTATATCTATAATACACTCATATGAATTTAAATTTGCAAATTTAATGTAATATAATATTTTTAAAATATGCATTGATATGAAAATTGTAAGATTTGTTAGTTTAACATAATGATTTTCATTGAGCATCAAACTTCCTTTATTGTAATGAAAATCACATTTTCTGTTAAATGAGCATTAATACATTTTTAATGAGCATCCAACCTATTCTGTTGAGTATTGTTGAACTTCGTGAATTCTGCTTCATAACTTCTGATTCACTTTATTTTCTTTTTTCTTCTATATAAATTATATCTATAAAAGACTCCTCTATTCGGCATCAATTTTAATCTATTGAACATTGAAACTTTGCAATTGAGCACAAAAATTTCTAAACCAATTGAGCGTAAAAACTTCATTGAATAGTCAGTCGTAATAGTACTTATCTTAAAACGATATATCAACTAGTAAACTCACCCGTGCGATGCACGGTCTGAGAATATTCCTTTAAATTTGTTTATGCTCACTAATTCAAATTACACTATCAATTGATGAGAGCATCTATGTCCATGGAATATTGATTTAACTTCAAATAATAAACAAAACACACTTATAATATATATTATAGTTAAAAAGAGAGCACTAAGCATTACTTAAAAGATCAAAAACATCCAACAAATACTTAGAAACCATAACATTGTAAATATACATTTCATGTAACCCTAAACATTGTTGAACACTTTTTGAATACAACATTATGAGTCTTGTTCAGTGGTTCCTTCTTCTTCATCAATACCCGTGTGATGCACGATTGGTGAAATTTCGCGGGTATAATTAACATTAGCCAACATTTTAATTAAAAAATAATTAAACTTGTAATTTTAATTGAATTGTTTAGAATTATACTTCATACAATAATAAAACTTGACGTAAATGAAACATATAAAATACAATTTACTAATGATTACAGAGTAGTACATTATTTTTTATAGCCCTCAAAATAGTAAGTAACACGCAATATAAACATCATTTGAAAACAAATTACATTCCATGACAAATTTTATGAAACACTTCTTTGTACCTTCTGTCTAGCATTAATCCTTGTTAAAAGGGAAATTACACTAAATAGGACAAAAAAGTTTTATGTATTCCAAAATTAGACCTTAAGCATGACAATATTTTTCAAGTTTGACATTAATTACGCCTATTTTGGCAATAAAAAACATGACAATCTTATTTTGGATTCTCAAACTTATTTACTCATATTCGAAAATTTTCCCTTGTTAAAATCTTTCATTCAAGTAATTTTTTGACAAAGATTTTTTTCATTTTTGTTGAGGTTTATTCCTTCAACCTTTGAGTCCAACACGTCAGCCCAAAGGTTTCGAGTGGTGTGGAGTATTTGTGTGAAATAACTAGCCCAACAAACAAGTAAGATGGATTAAGAGATGATAATTAGCAAGTAAGAGATCAGGTATTATTAATCAGTTAATAACTCCCAATGCAATACGCTTGCTAAGGCTCGTCGGCTGTTCGTCTTACAAAGCAGTAGAAGAGCTGCGAGTAAGAGAAATATAAACTAGAGTGCTGAGAATAGTAAGTTGCCAACCTCTTACAATGAAATAAATACTGCTATTTATACCACCAATGGGCAGTTGCCTATGCTGACGTGGAGGGCTGTGTGTGGCTGGTGTCTCAACCACCAAATCTCCAGCATTAAATGTG